CACACACACACACACACACACACACACACACACACACACACACACACCAGGAGAATTCAGGGCTAGAACCATCGTGATGACGTGCTGTGAGTGGATTTTAGAATAAATGTAAGAATCTTCCCCCCAATTGGTCCATTGAAATCTCTGATTAGAATTGCATTGATCTTGCAGATTAATTTGAGAACCAAGACTTACCATTTACTAATGTTTCACTCATTGTTTTTTCATAAAGAAATTTCTTTACATAATTTCTACACATTCATAAATTATGTGTTAAATAACTGTGTTTCTATGAATATTTTTTTTTTCAGTGATGACTGGAATGAATTTAGGTGAGTAAAGACTCTCAAAATCTTGATTTGCCTAAGAAATTTGGAGCCCTTTATTATCTACCTGAATGAGGGGGTTGGGAATCACACTACCGCTGGCTCAGCAGAAAATCTTACAAGTATCTATGTGGGTTAGGGGCTAAATGCAAGAATATATCATGGCCAAATCCATCAAATATGATAATTTACCAGAAATATGGTTCTCTTTGGAAATTAGCTTCATGAGAGTAGCACTAATTTTTAATTGTAAGACCCTTTCAAACAATTCTTTCAGTGACATAGTGGTGGACAGGGCGAATTGATACTGTGATGAGTAGGTGAGTCCTCATGGTTCCCTAGAGAGAAAGAATTAACCTCCTCCCTGAATCTCTCTTTTTAACATTTCATAAGCTCAGATGTCTACAGTAGGCGTACGGGGCAGGGTGCTCTCTCCTGCAACATTCATTGGCGGGGGGGGGGGAAGGGTTCATCTCTTTCTTTCTTTTCTTTTCTGTTTTTTGAGACAGGATTTCTCTGTGTCGCCTTGGCTGTCCTGGAACTCACTTTGTAGACCAGGCTGGCCTTAAACTCAGAGATCCACCTGCATCTGCCTCCCAAGTGCTGGGATTAAAGGCATATGCCACCACCGATAGCTTTTTCAAAAATTCTTTTTAGATTTATTTTTATGTTTATGAGTATTTCGCATGTACGTATGTACACCACACGCATGCCTGCTGCCTGTGGACATCAGAAGAGGGCGTTGGGTTTCCTGGAAATGGAATTACTGATGGTCATGAGCCACTATGTGAGTGCTGGAAACTGATGGGAACCGAACCCAGGTCCTCTGCAAGAGTACCAAGTGCTCTTAACCACTGAGCCATGTCTCCAGCCCCTCATTTCTATCTGTAATTGCTTTTGTTGTACACTTACAATTTAAAAATCAAATATGTGGAATTACCTTATCTAGCCTTACCCAAAAAAAAGCTCAATTTTATTGGCAGAAATCAAAAAGGGCCTGTAAAGGATTTCACCTAAAGCCAGTGAAATAGGAGGTAAATAGATAAATAGATGATGCTAATAGATAGATAGATGATAAATATGTAGATTTATTTTTCTACAACAACTTCTCATCCATGTTAAGCCCAAGATATCTCACCTTTTAATTTTTATATCTTAAAGTAATTACAAAACATGAACAATTCTCTCAATATTTAGGTGAGAATTCCTACATTGTTTCTTTGTTCTTCTTCAGACACGCCCACTTGTGTAGCCCAGGTTAGCCTCCATCTTGTGATCCTCCTTTTCATTTGTATCTTGAGCTACTCGATCACACTTTTGAGTGTAATCTGTCTGTATTGCCCTTTCTGGGTTTGCTTTTTTTTTTTTTTAATTCTTTATTACTTACACTTTATTCACTTTGTATCCCCCCTGAGGTTTCCTCCCTCCTCCCATCCCAATCCCTCCCTTCCTCCACCCTCTGCACGCATGCCCCTCCCCAAGTCCACTGATAGGGAGGTCTTTTTTTCCTTCCTTCTGATCCTAGTCAATTAGGTCTCATCAGGAGTGGCTGCATTGTCTTCTTCTGTGGCTTGGTAAAGCTGCTCCCCCCTCAGGGGGAGGTGATTAAAGAGCAGGCCAATCAGTTCATGTCAGAGACAATCCTTGTTCCCATTACAATGGAACCCACTTGGACACTGAACTGCCATGGGCTACATCTGTGCAGGGGTCCTAGGTTATCTCTATGCATGGTCCTTGGTTGGAGTATCAGTCTCAGGAAAGACCCCTGTGCTCAGATTTTTTGGTTCTGTTGCTCTCCTTGTGGAGTTCCTGTCCTCTCCAGATCTTTCTGTTTCCCACTTCTTTCAAAAGATTCCCTGCACTCTGCCCAAAGGTTGCCCATAAGTCTTATCATCTACTTTGATATACTGAAGGGCACAGAGGTCCTCTGTGTCAGGCTCCTGACTTGTTCCCTTTTATTCTCCTTCTTCTGATGTCCATCCTCTTTGCATTTCTGGATAGGGATTGAGGATTTTAGCAAGAGTCCTCCCTCTTGATTAGTTTCTTTAGAGGTACAGATTTTAGTAGGTTTATCATCTATTATATGACTATATGAGTGAGTATATACCGTGTGTGTCTTTCTGCTTCTGGGATAGCTCACTCAGGATGATCTTTTCCAGTTCCCACCATTTACCTGCAAATTTCATGATTTCCTTGTTTTTTATTGCTGAGTAATATTCCATTGTGTAGCTGTGCCACAATTTCTATATCCTTTCCTCCATTGAGGGACATCTGGATTCTGACTATTACAAATAAAGCTGCTACAAACATGGTTGAGCTAATGTCCTTATTGTGTACTTGAGCTTCTTTTGGATATATGTCTAGGAGTGGTATAGCAGGATCTTAAGGAAGCGCTATTCCTAGTTGTCTGAGAATGTGCCAGATTGATTTCCAGAGTGGTTGTACAAGTTTACACTCCCTCCAGCAGTGGAGGAGGGTTCCCCTTTCTCCACAACCTCTCCAGCATGTGTTGTCACTTGAGTTTTTTTATCTTTGCCATTCTGATGGGTGTGAGGTGAAATCTTAGGGTTGTTTTGATTTGCATTTCCCTGATGACTAATGACGTTGAACATTTATTTAAGTGTTTCTCTGCCATTCTATATTCCTCTATTGAGAATTCTCTGTTTAGCTCTGTACCCCATTTTTTAATTGGATTACTTGATTTGTTGCTGTTTAACTTCTTGAGTTTTTTATACTTACTGGATATTAGTCCTCTGTCAGATATAGGGTTGGTGAAGATCCTTTCCCAATCTGTAGGCAGTCATTTTGTTCTGACGACAGCATCCTTTGTTTTACAGAAGCTTTTCAGTTTCATGAGGTCCCATTTATTGTTTATTGCTCTTAGAGCCTATGCTGTTGGTGTTCTGTTCAGGAAGTTGTCTCCTGTGCCAATGAGTTCAAGGCTCTTCCCCACTTTTTCTTCTAAGCGGTTTAATGTGTCTGGTTTTATATTGAGGTCTTTGATCCACTTGGACTTTACTTTTGTGCAGGGTGATAAGTATGGATCTATTTGCATTTTTCTACATGTAGACATCCAGTTAGACCAGCACCATTTGTTGAAGTTGCTGTCTTTTTTCCATTGAATAGTTTTAGCATCTTTGTCAAAAATCAGGTGTCCATAGTGCGTGGATTTATTTCAGGGTCTTCTATTAGATTCCATTGATCCACCAGTCTGTTTCTATGCCAGTACCATGCAGTTTTTAGTATTGTTGCTCTATAGTACAGCTTGAGATCAGGGATGGATGGAGATACCTCCAGAAGATCTTTTACTGTAGAGAATTGTTTTAGCAATTCTGGGTTTCTTGTAGTTCCATATGAAGTTGAGAATTTTTCTTTCAAGGTATGTAAAGAATTGTGTCAGTAATTTGATGGGAATTGTATTGAATCTGTAGATTGCTTTTGGTAAGATGGGCATTTTTACTATATTAATCTTGCCAAGCAATGAGCATGGGAGATCTTTCCATCTTCTGAATCTTCTTCTAATTCTTTCCTCAGAGACTGGAAATTTTTTTCATATAAGTCTTTGACTTGCTTGGTTAGGTTCACACTAAGGTACTTTATGTCCATTGTGGCTATTGTGAAGTGTGTTGTTTCCCTAATTTCTTTCTCAGCCCTTTGTCAGGAGGGCTACTGGGTTTTTTGAGTTAATTTTGTATCCAGCCACTTTGCTGAAGGTGGTAATCAGCTGTAGGAGTTCCCTAGTAGAATTTTTGGGGTCACTCAGGTATACTATCATATCATCTGCAAATAGTGATACTTTGACTTCTTCCTTTCCGATTTGTATCCCCTTGATCTTACTGCTCTAGCAAGGACTTCAAGAACAATGTTGAAGAGATATGGAGAGAGTGGGCAGCCTTGCCTTGTCCCTGATTTCAGTGGGATTGATTCTCTCCATTGAGTTTGATATTGGCTATAGACTTGCTGTATATTGCCTTTACTATGTTCAAGTATGTGCCTTGTATCCCTGATCTCTCCAAGACTTTAAACATGAATGGATGTTGGATTTTGTCAAATGCTTTTTCAGCATCTAAGGAGATAATCATGTGGTTTTTCTCCTTCAGTTTGTTTATGTGGTGGATCACATTGATGGATTTCTGTATATTGAACCACCCCTGCATGCCTGGGATGAAGCCTACTTGGTCGTAGTGGATGATATCTTTTATGTGTTGTATTCGGTTTGAAAATATTTTGTTGAGTATTTTTGCATTGATGTTCATAAGGGAGATTGGCCTGAAATTCTCTTTCTTTGTTGTGTCTTTGTAAGGTTTAGGTACCAAGGTGACTGTGGATTCATAGAATGAGTTTGGTAATATTCCTTCTGTTTCTATTTTGTGGAATAGTTTGAAGAGCATTGGTGTTAGCTCTTCTTTGAAGTTCTGGTAGAATTCTGTGCTGAAACCATCTGGCCCTGAGCTTTTTTTAGCATGGGAGACTTTTGATAACAGCTTCTATTTCCTTAGGGGATATAGGATTATTTAATTGATTTACCTGGTCTTGATTCAGCTTTGGCAAGAAAATTGTCCATTTCATTTAGATTTCAAATTTTGTGGCATGTAGGCTTTTGAAGTAAGACCTAATTATTGTTTGGATTTCTTCAGTGTCTGTGGTTATGTCCCTCTTTTCATTTCTGATTTTGTTGATTTGGATAGTGTCTCTCTGCCTTTTAGTTAGATTAGCTAAGGGATTGTCTATCCTGTTGGTTTTCTCAAAGAACCAGCTCTTGGTTTCATTGATTATTTAAATTGTTTTATTTGTTTCTAATTTATTGATTTCAGCCCTGAGTTTGATTATTTCCAGCCGTCTACTCCTCTTTGGTGTGTCTGCTTTTTTTTTTCCCCCTAAGGCTTTCAGGTAAGCCATTAAGTTGCTTGAATGAGATGTTTTGAACTTCTTCTTGAAGACACTTAACACTGCTTTCATTGTATCCCTTAAGTTTGCATATGTTGTGCCTTCATTTTCATTGAATTCTAGGAAGACTTTACTTTCTTTATTTCTTCTCTGACCCAGCTGTCATTTAGTAGCAAGTTGTTCAGTTTCCATGTGTGTGTAGGCCTTTAGCTATTTCTGTCATTGAAGTCCAGCTTTTGTCCATGGTGATCAGATACGATACAAGGGTTTATTTCAATCTTCTTGTACCTGTTGAGCCTTGCTTTGTGACCAGCTGTATGGTCTATTTTGGAGAAGGTTCCATGAGGTGCTGAGAAGAAGATAAATTCTTGTGTGTTTGCGTGAAAGGTTCTGTAGATGTCCATGAGGTCCATTTGATTCATGACCTCTGTCAGAGTTATTGTTTCTTTGTTTAATTTCTGTTTTGTTGACCTGTCCTTTGTTGAGAGTGGGGTGTTGAAGTCTCCCACTATTAATGTGGGGGGTCTATGTGTGGTTTAAGTTTTATTAATGTTTCTTTTATAAATGCAGGAGCCCTTGCATTTGGGGCATAGATGTTCAGGATTGTGATATCTTCCTGATGGACTTTTTCCTTGATGAGTATGAAGTGTCCTTCTCTATCTCTTTTGATTAATTTTGGTTGAAAGTCTATTTTATTAGACATTAGAATGGCTACTCCTGCTTGCTTCTTGGGTCCATTTGCTTGGAAAACCGTCTTCCAGCCCTTTACTCTCAGGTAATGTCTATCTTTGTGACTTAGGCATGTTTCTTGTATGCAACAAATTGATGGGTCTTGTTTACGCATCCATTCTGTTAGTCTGTGTCTTTTTATTGGAGAATTGAGTCCACTGATGTTGAGGGAGATTAATGACCAGTGGCTGTTAGATCCTTTGATATTGATGTTGGCTGTGGTAGTGTGTTTGTGTGTTTGGCTACTTTTGTTTTGCTGTAGTGAGGTCATTTATTTCCTGTGTTTTCCTGAAAGTAGCTAGTTTTCTTGGGTTGTATTTTTCCTTCTAGTATCTTCTGTAACACTGGATTTGTGGGTAGGTATTGTTGAAATTTGTTTTTATCGTTGAATATCTTGTTTTCTCTGTCTATAAGGACTGAGAGTTTTGCCGGGTATAGTAGCCTAGGCTGATTTCTGTGTTCTCTTAGGGTCTGCATGATATCCATCCAGGCCCTTCTGGCTTTCATAGTTTCTGTTGAGAAGTCAGGTGTGATTCTGATGGGTTTGCCATTATATGTTACTTGACCTTTTTCCCTTGCAGCTTTTAGTATTTTTTCTTTGTTCTGTATACTTACTGTTTTTATTATTATGTGACGGGAGGATTTTCTTTTCTGTTCTAATTTATTAGGTGTTCTGTAGGCCTCTTGTATTCTTATAGGCCTCTTCTTTAAGTTGGGGAAATTTTCTTCTATGATTTTGTTGAAAATATTTTCTGGGCCTTGGAGGAAGGAATCTTCTTTTTCCTCTATTCCTATTATTCTTAGGTTTTGTCTTTCTTTTTATGCTGTCTTGGATTTCTTGATGGTTTGGGGCAGGAATTTTTTGGATTTATTATTTTCTTTGATGAACACATCTATTTCTTCCATTGTATCTTCCACACCTGAGATTCTTTCTTCCATCTCTTGCAGTCTGTTGGTTATACTTACCTCTGTAGTTCATGTTTTCTTTCCTAGGTTCTCCCTCTCCATGATTTCCTCCATTTGTGTTTTCTTTAATTTTTCCAATTCTACCTTCAGATCTTGAATCGTTTTGTTGATTTCCTTCATCTGTCTGACTGTATTTTCCTGTTTTTCCTTCAATTCTTTCACCTGTTTCTTTGAACATTCCTCTGTTTCTTTTATTTCTTTCAGTGATTTCCTCTCTGAAAGCCACAAACTGTTTGGCTGCATCTTCCTGTATTTCTTTACGGATGGCCATAATCTGTTTTATTATAATTTCCCCTAATTCTTTACACATTTTATTTGCTTCCTCCATTAACCTCTTCATAAGCATAGATGTAAGGTCATCTTCTTGAATTTCACTTATGTTAGGGTGTCCAGTGCTTCTTGTCCCTGGATAACTGGGTTCTGGAATTGCCATATTGCTTTGCCTTTTGTTGGTTGTGCTTTTTCACTGGCCTCTACCCATCTCTCTGTCTCAGGTATTGTCTGTTAATTTCTGGTGCCTGCTGGGACCTGGGTTGGGAAGAATCCACTTGGCAGGGTTCTGAAGGAAATCTCCTCAGCTTTTTGGGTATTGTCAACTGAATGGTGGTGCTTCTCAAGAATTATCACAGTTCTCTTCAGGCATATGGACCTGTGTGGTAACTCTCAAGTTCAGGAAGGCTCTCCTCTCATCAGGAGAGGTCCCGGTGATGGCTGCCCTACTACTGGGTTTCTTGCTCTGAATTTAGTGAGCTGCAGCTGTTGCTCTTAAAGTGTAATTGTTGGGTGCAGCCCTTTTGAAGAACCAGGGAGTCCTACAGTTTTGTCAGTTTATCTAAGGATAACTGGTCGAACCTTGGAGCAGTATCTGAGGGCTGCTGTAATGGCGCTCCAGCAGCTGTGTGCCCCAGTGCCCTAATGGTACTCAACAATGACAGGTGAGCACAGCGCTCATGCCTGCAGTAGAAGGCTAGAGCCTAGAGTCTGAGCCACACACGCAGGTGCCAGCACAGAGTCCTGCCTGCGTGCATGACTCGCTGCCCCAGATAGAACTGAGCTGACTGTAAATCCCAGTTTCTGATGTTGTGAACTGTGTCCCACAGTTCAGTCTGGGACAGTGATCAGAGCACACTGGTATGTGGCTGTGGGCTGGCGACCAAGCGCCTGGTGGAACCGGGATCTTTTCCGTGGTTTAGCTGGGTGACTTGAAGCTGATTGAATCCCCCACCGTGGGGTATCCTCTCACCTGGGAAACACAATTGCTTGTGTTTTAGGGCCAAGAGTTCCGACTGCTGGTCACTGTGCCAATCCTGCTGTGCCGCTGCTCAGAACGAGAGTCAACCTGGCGACGCCATCTTGGAAGAGCCTGGGTTTGCTATTTAAACTTCTTTAAGAAACCATGGCCTCATCTGAGACAGCCAGGAAATTTTCACACAAAGAAAGATCATGACGTTCATAAGTATAAAGACTGGTAAATAGGTATAGACAGAAGGTCACTGGTTCCTGCAGGTAAAACAAAACAAAACAAAAGTATTTTAAGGATAGTAAGAATGATAATAGTCCTATAGCAGAATTAAATTTATCAAACATATGAGATATATTCTCTAAGAACAAATATCACACTCGGGTGATGGTGCACTCACTCCTTCTTGGGAGGCTGAGGCAGGAGGATGTGCCTTATTAAAATCATTGAGATCAGTAAGTTAAAATAGAAACCACATTTTCGCCTTCATCCTTTCCAGACCTGATTCTCTCAAAGCTCTGTTCTTGCACAGATGAAGCCATGGGTTAAACCTCAGAACTGTTCTTGGCCCTTGTAGTGGCATTGGAATGTCATCTGATATGAAAAAGCCCAAGGAGATAGAATCTTAAACTGGAAGCTACAAAAAGAGGTGTCATATGTCTTTAATCCCAGCACTCAGGAGGCAGAGGCAGGCAGATCTCTCTGAGTTCAAGGCCAGCCTGGTCTTCAAAGTGAGTTCCAGGACAGCCAAAGCTATATATAGAGAAACGCTGTCAAAAAAGAAAAAAAAAAAAAAAAAAAAAAAAAAAGGAAAAGAAAACAAGCAAACACACAAAAAACTTGAAAACTACATAGTGGAGATTTGGGGTGAGGTCAGTGTTTTCTCTCAGTACCCCCTGAAAAGACTCACCACTCAGAGACGCGGCAGCCTTCTACTCATCTTTCCTCCTGAAGTTTCCACCACTCTTAGTGTCATCTTAGCCATCAACTAAGGACCAAGCTTCCAGCACACAAGCCTTTGAGGACATTTAAAACCCAAACCACAACAGGCTCGTTATGGTGCCCAGCACACAGCAAGCACTTCAGTGTTATTTCTCATTATTTTCAAAGTGTGCCTTGGGATACAAACAAAACTGCCTAAAGTTGTTTAATGTATTAATGTGAGAGTAAATGAATTGAATAAATGTCAAAGCAAAGAAGAGCGCACCTGATGTAAACCGAGACGTCTTACTATTGCTGTGATGGAACACTATGACCAAAAGAGTTCATTTCACTCATGGTTCCATATAACAGTTCATCCTCAAAAGCAGTGAGGACAGGAACTCAAGCAGGATAGGAACCTGAAGGCAGCAGCTAATACAGAGGCCATCGAGGGGTGCTGCTTACTAGCTTGTTCCTCATGGCTTGCTTAGTCTATTTTCTTATAGAACCTAGTACCACCATCCCAGGGATGTCACCGCCCATCATGACTGAGGCTGACCCCATCAATCACTAATTAATAAAATGCCTTACAGCCAGGTGGTTGTGTTGCATGCTTTTAATGGCAGAGGCAGGAGAATCTCTGTGAGTTCGAGGCTAGCCTGGTCTACAGAGCAAGTTTCAGGACAGCCAAGGCTACAAAGAGAAACCTGCCTTGAAAAACTAAAAGGGGTGGGGAGAGAGAAGCAAAGCGAAAAGAGAAGAGAAGAGAAGAGAAGAGAAGAGAAGAGAAGAGAAGAGAAGAGAAAAGAAGAGAAAAGAAAAGAAAAGAAAAGAAAAGAAAAGAAAAGAAAAGAAAATGCTCTACAGGCTTGTCCACAGCCCCATCTACTGGGAGCACCTTCTCAGTTGACGCTCCCTCCTCTCTGATGACTATAGCTTGTGTCAAGTTGATATGATGCCAGAATACCAGGTTAAATATCAAAGACTTGGTAACTACAAAGCTATGACATATATATGGTTTCCTATGGATTAGAATTTTTACAAGTTACAGTAACATGGGAAATCTGAAAAGATTACATTGTAATCTTTTAGAAGCATCTAGTTTTGTTTTTGTTTTCTATTTTTTCAAGAAAAAGGAGAGCCAGACATGGAAACTACATAATTCAAAACATTAAAATCCCAAGAAAAACAAACTGGAAAAAATATTAAAGACAAAACATGATACATTTTCAATACTTAAGTTTCTTTCTTTAAATATAAAGAAATTATATACTTATACTAACAAGCCCATTTCTCTGACTGCTTGACGAAGCCGTTGTACCACTGGGAAATAATCACAATTTCAGTTTCCAAACTATGTGAGGGAAAGGGACAAAAAAAACAGCTCCCCTTCCTCAGGCAAGTGAGATATTGATGTGTCTGTGGTCAGAAAAGGCTCCTGCTGCCTCTGCTGAACTTCCAATTGCAGACAGCTGTAAAGCAAAACAGAACAAACACCCATGAGTGACCATTGATACAGCTGCCCCTCCTCTGGACCAAACCCATGTGGTCACTGTACATGCTTGACTCTGTCCCTTCTCCCCTTCTGCCTCAGTTGGACTCGTCTGTAAAGCGAAATTACATGTTAGGTTGGCTGTCATCGAGGTCAACCCAGCTCTCTGGGGGACTTCAGTCTGTGACGCCCCCCAGCTCGGTCAGCACCACGGATAGCTGCCTCTCCTGCCTGTGGAGGAGCTTCTTCCGTGGCTCCTGGCTGTGAGTGTGAGTGACTGCAGGGAGAGGGAGAACAGCCTGTCCTGTGGTAGTCTGTTTAAAGACCTGTACAGCTGTCTCTGCCAGCCCCTCAGCCCCTCAGCCCCTCACTTCTGCCCCATTGCATGCGTTCTTTAAATTGTAAGCTGTGTTTGTGATTTGCAAGTGATTCTACAGCTTGGCCACGTTTCTCCTTCAGCCAGAGAAAACTGCTGTGAACAAGAGAACTGAGCACAGAGCAGAGAGGAGTCTTGTCTCTCCTAAAACCACAGTCTCCCCTCAGCCAGCCTCTGGTTCAAATCTGACAAATTATTGAACCATTCGTCTAAAATAATGTTCTATCTCTCTCTCTTTCTCTACTTCCCTCTCTACCTTTCTTCCTCTACCTCCCTCTCCCTTGATCTTCCTTTCCCCCTCTTCCTTCATGCAACCTTCTATCTCATCATATGTGTATATACATGCATTTGCATTTATGTGTATGGCCATAAATTTCCCACTTATTATAACAGAAGCATTGCCTATGGTTGATAGTGACTGACTCAGTTTGAAATTAAGACATCAAATGGTCCTAGAAAATCAATATCCTAATGTTGTCAGCTTGGGCAGTGTATCTTCCAAGTACACCCATCAAGTTCCCATCTACAGAGTTTCTTCTGGCTACAAGAATCACGTTTCTTCATAAATTTCCATGTTGACTCTCAGCCCAGCCATCAGCCACCACTGACCCCTCATTCCCTGACTTATCCAGTGCCAGAGGCCTGTCTCCAACAACAAAAAAGAGCAAAGAAGAGAAATGTAAGCTCTCTCCAGAGGCCTGGAGTAGGGAAGGTTGATGCCGAGAGAACCGTGCTCCCTGTCCCCTATTCTGCTCTGCACAGCACGCTTAAACAAAGAACCCTGATCTAGGATCTGGGACCCTATTACATTGTTCACAGATACCCAGACACCTGCTGATTCTCCGAGAAAACCCAAGACTCACACCACAACAAACTCTCTCCCTCTCTTAGAATGATTAGTATTAACTATTTAAAAAATTATCTTTTAAATAGCATGTGGTAGTTGGAACATTTTTCTTTTGTGTTTGGTTTTCAGAGACTGTGTTTCTCTGTGTAGCCCTAGCTGTTCTAGAACTCACTATGTAGACCAGGCTGGCTTCAAACTCACACAGATCCACCTGTCTATGTCTCCCAAGTAGTCTTACGACGCCAGCTGTGGGCATAGACTGAGAAGGAACAAACAGACACCTATATTCCCCAATTTTAACATTCAAACAGATTTGACTATTACAGTCTTAATCATGCTTCCGAATTGACCTGCTATTTTTGTGTGTGTCATCTAGTCAACACATAAGCCCTGCTAATTATCACCTTTATAGTTAAACCTAGATTAGAAGTCAGCAAACAATAGCCCAGAGGGAAAACCTAGATTGCCAGTTATTTATAAATGAAATTTGATTAGAACATACCCTTTTATTTACCTGTAGTCTGTGGGTGCTTTGTAATATGGCTGAAGAGCTGAGGAACAAAGAGGAAATTCTGAGCCACACAATCTTGGATATTTACTGGCCTTGATAGGAAATGTTTCTGACTTTTGATCTGGATTATTATATTCTTCACAAAGTACTAAAGAGACTTCTAGAAAGTTAGTTTTAAGTGGTGTTTTTGTAAAATGCTGTTTGCGATGTGATACCATAAATAACAGACCTACGTGTTGTTTTCTCAGCTTTCCAAAGAAGACGTGTCAACCCTTCACAAAGAAGCAGAAAGAGAGGTAAAAAAAAAAAATGTGATTAATCAAATTTTAATGAATGAGACATTTAAAAATGGTTTGAGGAGGTCTCACTGTGCACCCCTGTATGGCCTGGAACTCATTGTGTAGATCAGTCTTCTCTGAACTCATAGACATACTCCCTGCCTCTGCCTTCTGAGTAAGTGGGTTTTAAGACATATGCCACCATGCCTGGCTCTAAATTAATTTTCTTTTAATTTTTAATGTATTATACTGGATCACATAGGCCATTTCTATGCAAGCAAATAAATGTACTCTGCACATACTCCATCAGGACCCATGACCCTCCACTCCCCTCTCCTGTTAGTTCCCTTGGTCTCTCAGACAATTTCCATGTCATTTGTACACATAATTTTGTGAGACAGGAATGGTGGCACATGCCTTTAATCTTAGCACTCCAGAGGTAGAGCCAGATGAATCTCTGAGTTTGAGGCCAGTCTGGTCTACAGAGCAAGTTCCAGACCAGTCAAGGCTACACAGGGAAACACTGTCTCAAAAGAACAAATAATAATAATTTTGTGTCTGTGTATGAATTCTTAAGACCCACAGATGACCTTGTCTTTCTGAGGCTGTCTTGATTCACTTAACATGATGATTTCCCGTTGTGTCCATTTTCTTGCAAATGACATAATTTTGATTTTTTTCTTTTTAGTGGCTAAAAGAACTTTGACTGTGTATATAAATCAGTTTCTTCACCTACTCCTCTTCTGGCACCTAGACTGGGTCCACAGCTTGTCAGGAGTGCTGCAACAAGCATTGATGGAGTAACTAAAATCTTATTCTGCACTCTGTGCGCTTGAGTAACATGTCAGTTTTCTTGATTGGCTGATGAAACCAGTACCAAGACTTAAGAGCCAACATTGGTCAATTTAACAGCACAACAGACTGATGATAACTCTCATCATCCTATTGATTAGTTAATTGATTTGGGAGTGACCGAGAGCTGCATGAGGCATGGGCCTTCACGTGCTGACCATTCTTGGTAAATGAAATAAAGTATGTTGGCCACATGATATTTAACATACTTTTTTCCTCTTGCTTTTTTTTTTTTAAGACAGAGTTTCTCTATGTAGAAACTAGACTCACTTTGTAGACCAGGCTGGCCTCAAACTCACAGAGATCCTTCTGCCTCTGCCTCCCCAGTGCTGGGATCACAGGTGTGCGCCACCATGCCTGCTATGTAGCAGACTTTGTCCTCACCCTCACTGAAAGCCACAGAAACCCAGAGACCTTGGTGGTGATAAAATACCTTTATTCTAATTCTGAAAGTCCTATGTGACTTTAGCCTGTCATTTGTCCTTTTCTAACTCAATTTACTTACCTGTAAAGATGTGCCAGAGGGTTTCAATGAATTAAGGTGAGTGCCTGCCAGAGCCATTGTTGTTTTGACAGACTGTGCTCTGAAGCAACTGTGGGGTGCCTTTCACCCCTGCCACCAAATCCCAGCCCCACTGTTCCAGCAGGCACCCTGTCACATGCTGGCACACACTCAGGCAGGCTGAGTGGAGGTAGGCACACAGGCCTGCAGATAGACACACACAGGCGGGCTGGTAAAGGTGACAGTTCCAGCCACATGAAAGTTAGTTCTGCCAGAACTAACAGGTGACATTACTATTTACTTTGAGGTCTCCAGACATCTTGTGTCAGACATTCTGTGCTAACTTCCTTTGCACCATGTCCAGTGCCAGCCATGTTTTAGCTGGCATATCAGATATCCACATCAACACCATGTTGTCTAGATATGAACGCCTTCGTGGCTTTCTGTTTCCAACGCCTTCGTGGCCTCGAGGGATATGCAGGAGAATTGTCTTGAGCAGCGGTTCTCAGCCTGTGGGTCACAACCCCTTTGGGCATTCAATGACCCTTTCCCACGTGTTGCCTAAGACCATCACTGTCAGAAAACAGATGTTTTCATTACCATTCATAACAGTAGCAAAATCACAGTTAATCCAGCTCCCAAACTTGTCGGCCACAGTAACCAATGTAACAACAGCTAAAAGTAACGACAGTAGAACAAAGTCTCTCCAAAATATTCACCTGTGCAATGGTTGCTGTGGCCAACAAGTTTGGGAGCTGGAATTCTGTCCCACATGGCTCCAGCTGCTGAGTAGGAGTTCAGAGGTTAAGAGAAGAGCATGGTGTTATCTATAAGCATCTAACCATTGATAAAAGAAATAATATGTATTATATTATTAAATATAACTAATGCATGCAAATTAATAAATGCAACTAATTCATGTGAAAACCTAGTGCATTTTCAGTTGCACAAGCAAGATACCAAACTAGGAGGAGGGAAGGCCCTGCACAGGTCTAGAATAAAGTGAAATGTGTCCCTGCAGGTCCGAGAATTCCCAGACAAAATGCGGATTTTAGCCGTCCTGTGCTTCCGGTGAGCTGTGGCAAGGCTGAGGGGAAGCTGCATAGGGAGAAATTTGAGAAAGGTGAGTTTCCAGATCTTCAGTGGCCTTCACCTGGAAAAATGGCACAAGGTAGAGGGCAGGCCCCTGTGTTGAGGGTGTCTCATGCCAGATCTAGTGTGGGACTCAAGATATAGGCAATGTCACACCTGCTCGTGAGGTTGTGAGGCCAAGTTAAGGATAAGAAGAGGGCATAAGATGAACTGGAGTGGGGGAGGGCGGGGGGGCACACATCTTTAAGCCCAGCGCTTGAGAAGCAGAGGCAGGCAGATTTCTGAGTTCAAGGCCAGCCTGATATACATTGTAAGTTCTAGGACAGCCAGGGCTACACAGAGAAACCATGTCACACAACAAAAAAAGAAAAAAGAAAGAAAGAAAGAAAGAAAGAAAGAAAGAAAGAAAGAAAGAAA